AGGGACAAGGTTCATGAGGTTCAGGTATGCAGCTGTGCAAAGATTTGATTTGGCAGTAAAAAATTGGGATATGTTAAGTAGAAGAATAGTTAGCATACCCCTTAGTCCATTGGTTCTTAAACTTTAGCAAGATTGCATTCACCTGAAGGGCTTGTTAAAACAAATTAAAGGACTCTGTACCCAGAATTTTTGGTTTAGTAAATGGAGGTAGGACCTTTTAATATATACTTCTAACATGTTCCTATGTCATGCTGATGATGCTGGTTGGAATTATACTTTGAAAATCAGTACTTTTGCCTAGTTCTCTGAAATATCACTCTTCTCTGAGAAACTTGTAGGAAAATTGTATAATAGTTACAATTGAGGTTCCCTGAAGAGTAGATGGGCTGGGTATTTTTGTTTTTTGTTTTGATTGTTTTGTTTTTAAATAGCTTTTTTGAGATACGGTTTTACATACTAAAACTAACCCATTTGTGTATTGTTTCATGAGTTTCAGTAACTTTGTATAGTTTTTATACAGTAGCACCACAATTCAGTTTTAGAAAAATTCATCATGCTAGAAAGTTCCCTTATGATCATTTGCAGTCAGTCTCAATACTGAACTTCAGTTTGAGGTTACTAGTAATCTGCTTTTTTGTCTGTATATTTTTGCATTTCGTAGAAATTTCATATAAATGGAACCATATGGTATGCTGTGATGCATCCAGCTTTTTTCAACTAATATATTTGAGGTTAATCCATGACATTGCTCAGATTGGTCCTTTGCTTCTTTTTATATTGATAAATAGTTTTTATAGTATGGACATAATACATTTTGTTTTTCCATTCGACAGTTGATATTTTTATTTTTTCCAGGTATTCCTGTTATGAAAAATAAATTTTTTAAAAAATAATTTTTGAACATTCTTGTACAAGAGATGCCCCATCATTTTGATTAAGAAGTGTAATATCCAGATGATACTCATATTTCATCGTAGGCTTATAGTTGATTTAAAAAATGTTAATATATTCTTTTTCCCTAATTACTTATTTCTAGCAATAAAATTTTTATATCTATTATAAATATTTTATATATTTGTGCTTATCTTAACCATTTTTGATAATTTTATCTCACAATATTTTAAATTGGTATATAGATTGTAAAAATATTGTAAAATGTTTCTTTTGAGATAGTCTATAGGTTTTAGTCTTCACAAAATTGACATACCTGCTATTATTGGTGGGTAAAATTTACATGTAATTAAATCTGGAATAAAATAAATATAAGCCTGAAAATAAACTAGATTTTTAATATGGAAATATTGGATAAAATCAGAAGTCGAGAGGGCTATTTAAAGAACCCCCAAGTAATTATGTTATCAAATTTCAACAATTGTTAATAGTCTGACATTCTTTTTTTCGTCTGTACCTTGTTCCCCATCTGTTTCTGGTATCTCATGTTGAGTCTCATTTCATTCAAATATCATTTCTTCTTCAAATACTTCATTGTATATATGTGCAGCTTATGTTTGGTTTCCCTGGTGTCTGATATGTACTTTTTCAAATTGGTTGTTTAAATCAGGACCAAAAAAGGTACATACATTCCACTTGATCGATAGAACAATTAAGTTACTCTTAATCTGTAAGCATTCCTCTTCTCTTGTTTTTCCATGCCAATGACTTGAAGAAACTGGTTAATTTGTCATAAGATTTTTTATAATCCAGATTTAACTGTTTGTATCTTCATATCATTCAGTATGTTCCTTTATCTCCTCTATTCCATATGAACTAGTATTTAGATGTAGAAGATTTAGCATATTCAGGATTTTTATATTTCCGGTCACAAGACTATCTCTTAGAAGGAGTTATTTACTTCCAATTACATCATATAGTGTCTTTAGGCTCTCTTTTACTGCTGCTATGATTGATCACTATTAGGTTTAAATGTTATTGGCCTGATCCACTCATCATAAAGTTTCAACTTTTTTTTCTAAAGACTTTTTTAAAGAACAGCTCTAGGATCACAGTAAAATTAAGACTAAGATGCAGAGATTTCCCATTTTCTCCCTCCCCTGAGCTTACATGACTATTACCCATCTGATGAAGGATGCTGCTTCCTCATAGCAATATCCCACATCAGAGTGATACATTTGTTAGAACTGATGAACCCACACCAACACATCATTATTACCCAAAGTTCATAGTTTACATTAAGGTTCACTCTTGGTATTGTACATTTTTTGGGTTTTGACAAATGTATAATGACATGTATCCACACTATAGTATCATACAAAGTGAAAATCCTCTAGATTTCACCTATTCACATTTCTCCCACCATCCCTCCAACCCCTAGCAACCATTGATCTATTGCTTCAATAGCTTTTCTTTTCCAGAATATTGAATAGTTGGAATTGTACAGTATGTAGCCTTTTCACATTGGCTTCTCTCACTTAGTAATATGCATTTAAAATTCCTCCATGTGTTTTCATAGTTTAATAGCTCATATGTTTTTAGTACTGCATAATATACAGTATTGTATCTTGTCTGGATATACCATAGTTTGTTCATTCATCTACTGTAGGATCTTCATTGGTTCCAAGTTTTGGCAGTTATGAATAAAGCTACTGTAAACATCCATGTACAAGTTTTTGTGTGGACATAAGTTTTCAGCTTCTTTAAGTATGTACCAAGGAATGGTGATTCCTCGATCATATTGTAAGAGTATGTTTAGTTTTGTACAAAACTGCCAAACTGTCTTCCAAAGTGACTATACCATTTTGCATTCCCACCACTAATGAATAAGAGATCCTGTTGCTCCATATCCTTGTGTGCATTTGGTGTTTCCAGAGTTCTGGATTTTGGCCATTCTCATAGGTGTGTGGTGGTATTTGATTTTTATTTATATTTCTGTGGTGAAATGTGATGTGGGACATCTTTGCATGTGCTTATGTGTCATATGTATCTCTTCTTTAATGTATCTGTTCAGATTTTTTAAATTGGTTTGTTTTCTTTTTGTTGAATTTTAAGAGTTCTTTATATATTTTGGCTAATAGTCCTTTAGTAGATGTGTCTTTTGCAAATATTTTCTTTTAGTTTGACTTGTCTTTTTCTCTTGCCAGTGTCATTTGTGTATCAGATGTGGTTTGTTTTTTTTTTTTTTTTTTTTTTTTTTTTTTTTTTCATTTCAGTGAAGCCCTGTTTATCAGTTGTTCCTTTCAGGGATTCTGTCTTTGATGTTGAATCTCCCTTCAACATTTTACTAAATGGTTTTAAGAGTTATCAATGAATATTCCCTAGATCCTCTATTTCATTAGAGTTGCAAAATAGTAATCTTCTAATTCTATCATTCATTCTGTATTTTTTAACTAGAATTCTATGAAGAAGAATATTATTTTAGCAACACTTTTGTTGCTCTGAAATTCAGTCTTTCCGAAAAAGGAAGGAAAAATGCTTATTTCTTGTATTCGGTTTATCAGTTTTTAGAACAGTAAGTTTTGTGCCATAGCAACCTACAAATGTGATTAAGTTTTAAGGTACCATTATGAATTCACAGAACTTACTTATTTGACATGTTTAATCAATTTCAATCATTATTTTTAGTGGTGAGAGTACTTCATTTTTGACTAGTGGGGTCCACTGAAGTTTGCTGCTGTATCCTCATGACCTATTCTAGTTTCTTTTTTCTTTTTTAACTTCACTGCTTTCTGACTCAGGATTTCCCAGGCTCATATTATACTTTGTGCTCCAGACTTTATCTCTTTTAGAGAACCAAATCAATGGGAAGTGGAATTTGGAGACCATAATCTGGATGTTAGCTTACTGTTATTGTTCCTAGATCTTTACATATTTCTTTTACAGAGGTGCTGGATTTACATATTTTTCAGTGTATGATCATAGATTTATCCTTGAGATTGCATAACTTTTTGGTCCAAGGAAAATCTGTATTAACACAATCCAGTTATCAGTCATTTGGTTGGTCTGTTTTCTTCTTAGCACTATCGTAGGCGTTAGTATACAAATACAAGATTATGGCCCTTGCTTTCAGGGAACCACTGGGACTTGTTCTTAGCATCTAATGGGATAATATATAAGAAAATAAATTTTAATTAAAAATTAAAAAAAATTATTTTTTTATTCATGAGAGACACAGAGACTGAGAGAGAGAGGCAGAGACACAGGCAGAGGGAGAAGACACAGGCAGAGGGAGAAGCAGGCTCCGTGCAGGAAGCCCGATTTAAATCCTATTAGAAAAATATTTAAACGTCTAAACAAAACCTAGTCTTAACCAGGGTATTAGATTGCTAAGACTTTTTCATGCTGCTGGTGGGAGTATAAATCGGTGAAACCATTCATTATTGAAAGGACCTTGGCAATCAGTACTCAGTAAGTCAGAAGATACGTGTCATTTTAGTCAACATTTCCATTTCACATATGAACCCTAGAGACATGCTCACATCTGTACAGAGGGGCATGTTTAACAATGTTCATTGCAGCATCTTTGATTATACCAAAAATTTAGAAATAATATAAATCTATATCTTCAGGAGAATGGATAAATTTTTATATAGTTGTATAACAGCATAATATTCTGCAGTAAAAGTGAATAAACCAAAGCTATATGAGTAGAACTTGAATAATCAGGTCTCAAAATATGATTGTAAAAGCTTGTAAAAAGATACATAGAGTATGATGTCATTTATGTAAAGTTAATTATGCAAAATAATGTTATTACATATATGCATATAATAGATAAAAATACCAAATTCGAAAGCTTAGTTGTCTCTCAGGAGGAAAAATGAAATGGGATTGGGGAAGGTTATACAGTGGGCTTCAGCCTATTTTTTTGTTTTAAAAAAGTCAGAAACAGATATAGCAAAATTAAAATTTAGTAAAAGCTAGGTGATGTGCAGACAAGTGTTTTTTATTCCTACATATTTGAAATGTTTCTAATGAAAAATTCTTTTGAGAGTAAAATACTTTCTTAGTATCTAAGTACATTGAACAAGCTTTTTATTTTGCAGATTTGAGTGATGAATCAGCCCAGAAGCTGTTTGATGTTTCAGGAATATCTTTAGCAACATTGGCCCATTCATTGCCCACAGCAGTTCCAGAATCTCCTAGAATTCATCCTGTGAGGACACCTAAAACACCTCGAACACCCAGGTTACAAGATCCAAACAAAACACCAAGATTTTATCCTGTCGTTAAAGAACCAAAAGCTATTGATGTAAAGGTACACAAAACAACCAGGAACATAAAGCCTGCATTGTATATCCTTTAATATTACAAAATGAGACTTTTTCGTTGTATCATATTTTGAAAAATATATATTTTAGATTGTAAGAATTCACTTAAAATTGTATTTTTACCATAGTGATGTTTTCTCATGTTAAGAAATAACTTCTTTACAATTGTAGTGTAATTAATGTCAATCAGATGATATAATGAAGAATCACACTCAGCTGTATATCTTGTAATCCTTGTGTTGAAACCTAGCAAAGGATCTTCTTTGTTAAGTTTTGTAACTTGTATGTGAGATATTTGAGCTTTGTGACTTCATGTGATTTCATAATGTCATCCACAGTATGAAACTGTTTGAGCTAGTTTACAGTCAGAGGGTTTTAATTTACTTGTGAAGTTCACACTACTGAAATAATTGCAATGTTTGACTTCTTTTTCTTTAGAGTCCAAGAAAAAGAAAAACAAGACATAGTACAAATCCCCCTCTAGAATGTCATGTTGGTTGGGTAATGGATTCCAGAGATCACGGGCCAAGAACATCTTCTGTCAGGTACTATAATTGTCAAACATTGCTTTGTTTTTTATTTTAAGTTTGTTGAAAACAGGTACTAATTAGACATTTGGAATATTTAAAACTTAATTATATTAATAAATTATGGAACAATGAAAATAGTTTTTAAAATGAAGCCAAAGGTGGAGAAATAAGTGGGACAATTTTCTAATAAGTATATTAAGGAATAATTGAGTGGGACATTTTTTTTTCCCCATTTAAACCAGTTTTTCCACAAATGTGTTCTCTTAGATAAAAAATACTTAGGTTGGGCAGCCTGGGTGGCTCAGCAGTTTAGTGCCACCTTTGGCCCAGGGCCTGATCCTGGAGACCTGGGATCGAAGTCCCATGTCAGGCTCCCTGCATGGAGCCTGCTTCTCCCTTTGCCTGTGTCTCTGCTTCCCCACCCCCGCTCTCTCTCCATGTCTCTCATTAATAAGTAAAATCTCAAAAAAAAAAAAAAAAAAAAAAAAACACTTAGGTTTATGTAAGATTCCAGATTCTCAATAGTATAGTATGTTCTTAGTGAGTTAATATGCTAAACAACTCATTCAAACTATATAAAGAATATGGAAATAAAACACATTTTTATTTTGAGATTTTTCCTTTTTAGGGGAAATAACTTAGATTAGCTGATTGTTAGTAGTAAGTGCTTTTTTTTTTAGCTTGAATTTCTTTTAAAAACCTATTATTTACCTCAAAAGAGATGATAGAGAAAACCTTTGATATAGTGCCAGTAACATAATATATTATGGTATGTTTTGTCCTATACAGTGGATGCAGAGGTGATTTACTGCTAATTGCTTTGTGTTTCTTATAAACCCATTTTGTGTTTATATAGATATTTTCAGAATAATTATCTGACCTACTTTCTAAAAGAAAACTTACCTTTAAGAAAAAAATGTTTTTTGACTGATTACTACAAGGGAAAGATTAAATATTTTCATTCAAAGACAAGCTAGTAAGTTTATCATGATCTGAAAATCCCCCCTCTGTCTTTCCAGTGATATTTATTTGATCCTTTTACATTTCGTTCTCATTATATTGTCCTTAATAAATAAAATGTGTATCTGTTTTTTGTATATCTATTGTGTACATTTTGTGTTCTAAGTGATTTTGAGCGTTTATTTTCCAGGATTTTTTTTTTTTTATCAGAGCACTATATCTAGAGATCAACAAATAATGGGGAAAGATGTTTAGTCAATAACTTTTGGTTTAGTTAGAACATTTAATGGAACGTTTAGTCAGGAATATCTTTCTTACAACTCATTTTTTATTACATTATATCTTTTGTTATTAATAATTTATCTATATAATGATTTATTCATTCCCAGGCACCACTCCACCTTCTTCCACAAGTAAAATATATCAGGAAAGCAGGGGCTTAACATTGTGTTGGGCACTTTTCTAGGCACTGAGTATACAGCAGGGAACAAGATAATTACAGTCCCTGCCTTTCTGGAGCTTAATTAAGGGGTGACAGTCAGATATTTATAATAGTGAGTGTGAATTTTTTAAATTGACCTTTTTTTTAAGAGTAGTTTTAGGTTCACAGCAAAAATTGAATAGAAAGTACTAAGAGTTCCCTTATACTCCCTGCATGTCCTGCCTCCCACTCCACAGCCTCACCAACATTCCTATCTTTAGATTGTCTACATTGATGTAATTATGGATATGGTTGGATGTAAATCTACCATCTTATATTCTATTAATCTTGTTTCTTCTTTGTTATTTTTCTTTCTGTTTTTTTTTGGATCAATTGAGTTTTTATAATATTTCTATTTTATCTGTATGTACCATTGGCTTCTCAGTTATCTCTCTTATTTTTTCTGGTCTTCTACTGTTCATAATATACATTTTAATTTAGTCTACTTTCAAATATTGTTATACCACTACATGTATAGCATAAGAATCTTAATACTGTAAAGTTCCACTTCCTCCCATCCTTTGTACTATGCTTTTTTAATTATTTTTCTTTAGACAGTTAGCTTTTAAGGCAAGCGACATGAGACATTTTTATTTATTTATTTTTAAAGATTTTGTTTATTTGAGAGAGAGTGCATGAGGGGGCAAGGGATGAGGATAAGGCAGACTGCTTACTTACTAAGCAAGGAACCAGATGAACAGACTGTCTCTGCAGCTCAGTCCCAGGACCCTGAGACCATGACCTGAGCTGAAAGTAGATGCCTAACCAACTGAGCCACCCAGATACCCCAACATGACCCATTTTTAAAACATTTGCTCTATTTTTACCATTTGTAGTGCTCTTCATTTCTTGTACATGTCTGTTAGCAGTGGATTCTGTCAACTGTTGCTAATCAAGAAAAGTTTTTTTCTGTTTTGAAATTTACTCTCATTAGGTATTAAAGTCTTTGATGGATCTAGTATGGGTATGGATGTATGTGTAAATATGTGTGGATACACAAGGGATTTATCCTGCTTGTGGTTCTCTGAGGCTATTGGATTTAAATTGTTTGTTATCTTTTATTTGGTTAGGAAGATTTTCATCTATTACCTCTTCAAGTATTTTTTGCCCTGTGTTCTTATTGTTCATTCCCTCTTCTTCTGGGGATCTAATTATGTATACATTAGATATTTGCTAATATCTCACAGCTCTTAGATGATCTCCTCTCTTTTTTTCTACCCTTTTTCTCTTTGTAATTCATGTTGGATAATTTTTATTGACCCATTTCCAGTTTCTTGAAAAACTCCTTACAGGATTCTCCATTTCTAATACTGTGCTTCTTATATTTTATATTACCATTTGACTTTTTAAATATTTTATTTATTTATTCATGAGAGACAGAAAGAGGCAGAGACACAGGCAGAGGGAGAAGCAGGCTCCATGCAGGGAGCCCAATGTGGGAATCAATCTCGGGACTCCAGGATCACACCCTGGGCTGAAGGCAGGTGCCAAACCGCTGAGCCACCCAGGGATCCCCACCATTTGACTTTTTAATAAGATTTTTATTTTTCCTACTGAAGTTCTGTGTCAATGCATGTTCTCTTTTTCCATGAGATCCCTCAACATATTAATCTAATCACAGTTATTTTGAAGTCCACCGTGTGATCATGGCAATAGGTGGATCACCTTTGTATGTCTTGTTCTTGGTTTTGTTTTGTTTTTTTTTGCATTATCTTTTGATTAAAAATTTTAGTTTTCTTGTCTTTCTGTGTCTGTCTTATAAATTTCCTGTGTTTTTTAAAATTTTGTTTATTTATTTATTTATTTATTTATTTATTTATTTATTTATTCATAAGAGACAGAGAGAGAGAGAGGCATAGAGACATGGGCAGAGGGAGAAGCAGGCTCCATGCAGGGAGCCTGAAAATGGGACTCGATCCCGGGACCCCTGGGCTGAAGGCGGCGCTAAACCACTGAGCCACCCGGGCTGCCCTGTCTCATAAATTTTGATAGAATTTTAGATTCTTGCTCTTAGACTTATTTTATGGTTCTAATGTCCCCAAATCTCAAACTGAGATCTCAAAATCTCTTTCCATTATATTTGGTCCTAGTCTGCAGAATGTTGCTAAAATAAATCCTAGACTGATTGATATTAACACAGATTCATATACTCTAGATTCTCAGTAAAGTACTATAAATATTATTTTCTCTTGTGATTTTTAACAACATTTTCTTTCTCTAGCTTATTTTATTATAAGAGTATAGTATATAATACATTTAACATACATAGTATGTGTTAATTGACTGTGTATATTGACCTCTGGTCAAAAGTAGGTATTAGTAGTTAAGATTTTAGAGAGTCAAAAGTTGCTTGTGGAGTTTGACTGTGTAGGGTGTCAGCACCCCTAACTCCTGCATTGTTCAAGGGTTAATTGTATGAAAATACATGTAACTAATAATAGCCCCTCAAGATACATGAAGCAAAAATTGGGGCACTTGAGTGGCTTAGTCAGTTAAGCATCCAGATCTTTTTTTTTTTTATGATTTTATTTATTCATGAGACAGAGAGAGAGAGAGAGGTAGAGACAGAGGCAGAGGGAGAAGCAGGCTCCATGCAGGGAGCCTGAAGCATCCAGCTGTTAATTTTAGCTCAGGTCATGATCTCAGGGTCATGGAATCTAGTCCTGTGTCAGGCTCCATGCTTAGCAGGGAGTCTGCTTGAGATTCTCTCCCTCTGTCTCTCTGCCCGTCCCTACCTCTCTCTCTCTCTCAAATAAATAATTTAAAAAAAAAAGATCTATAACAGCTCTATAAGAGTAGTTGGAGATTTCAATATACTACTTTCAATAATGCATAGATCAACTTGATATGAGTAACAAAGTAGAGGACTGAACAATATAATAAACCAGTTAGACCTAACCTATATATATAATATTCTACCCAACAGTAACACAGAATACATATTCTTAAATACACACAGGATATTCTCCACAATAGACCATGTGTTCGGTCAAAAGAAATACTTCAATAAATTTTAAATCAGATACCATACAAGGTATCTTCTCTGACTGCAATGGGATGAAGTTAGAAGTCTATAATAGAAGTAAAACTGGAAAATTCACAAATATATGGCAGTTAAGCACACTTTTAACCCATGAGTCGAAAAAAGAAATCATAAAGGAAATTAGAAAATACTTAGAGTTGTATGAAAGTGAAAACATAGCATACCATATCTTAATGCAATGCAAGGAGAGCAGTGCTCAGCGGGAAATTTACAGCTATAAATGCCTGTATTTAAAAAGAAAAGAGATCACAAATCAGTAACCTAACATTATATTTTAAGAAACTTGAGAGTGAACTAAACCCAAAGCTATCAGAAGGAAGGAAAAGTTGAAAATGAGAGCAAAAATAAACAATAAAGAGAAAAACAGTAGAGAAATCAGTAAAAACAGAAGTTGAGGGATGCCTGGGTGGCTCAGGGTTGAGTGTCTGCCTTTGGCCCAGGGTGTGATCCTGGAGTCCCAGGATCGAGTCCCACATCGGGCTCCCTGCATGGAGCCTGCTTCTCCCTCTGCCTGTGTCTCTGCCTCTCTCT